CATTGGTGATCCCTACTAAAATTAGATAAAGAATGGCAATATGGAGATCGGACCACCACCACTGACTCCCCACCAATCCAAGAAGTTCTCTCATTCAAGAACTACAAACCCCATAACAAGAGATGGATATGCTGCGACATACACACCCTAGAAGAACCAGGAAACCCGGTAAGCCGAATCAGCATAAAGAGCAGAGCAGAAGGAGCATTCAAAAGCAACAACCTGAGAAGAATCAAAATCATAGAAGGAAAAAGAAAAAGAGTCTATAAACCCCATACTAGCGTGTGTGACCTAGAGATCGACCCCACGGAATGGACATGGAACTCCCCTTTTGGTTCCTTCCCCATCTCAAACTCATATAAGCTAACTGACTACACACCCAAACTGGGTTACCGACTCTTCACCAAACCCATATCAATATCCAATACAGTACGCAATAGGTGGACAAAAGAGGAACCACAACTAGCCAACTCTCAATACAGTATTCTCCACAAGACCGGTTAAGCTAGCCAGCCTGGGATGGCTAATGGCTTCAGAGTTGTCCCAGTAAACCAATGGTTGGCCAACAGACGTAATCAACGTAACAGATCGGAACAGGACTCCTGGTGTGAAGTATGCAATCTCGATGCCCCTGAATCCTGGAATCACTGTTTCATTGATTGCCCCAGGACCAGATCCCTTTGGCAAGCCCTAGAATCATCATGGCATAAAATTTCAACCCCCCCCCTTCTAATCGAAGCCACACTATTCCTCGACCACAAACAATCACCCCCACTCAAAGGCTTTGAAAGCTTCCTCTCCTCCCAAATCAAAAAAAGCACCCTATGGGCCATATGGAAAACAAATGCGTTAACACCTTCGAGGACCGACTCGCCACCTCAAAAAAAACACTCACCAACATCAAACAACTAATAGACACAGAAATCCACGCCCTCTGGAAAAAAACAACTTAAAAAGCTCCCAACTGACCCCGACAAAAGAAACCTAGCAATCCAAAAGTTATCGACCTCCAAACTAGGCAATGGGCTACTCAGCACCATAAAAAACGACAGACTAACCCTCAAAAATTGGCTAACCATAACACAGATATAAACTGTCCCTACAACCCCCCTATCCCACACACATCCATCCCCAAACCCACCACCCACCACCGATCCACGACCGAAACAGCAAAGACTCGTCTCCCCCCATCAATCCTGCCCAGCGTTTCAGCACAATTTATTTAATATGGGAAGGAAGGCTATTTTATGGGTACTATGGTATAAAAGATGTGTATTTACAATGGAAAAGGTCAGGATCGAGGGTAGAGAAATGTCTGAGTTAGTTCAACAGCTTATAGAAACAGAAGTGAGGTACAAATGGGATAAGACTAAATCGGGACTTCATATGATGCAACAAAAACAGGATATTAAGAAAAAATTCCAAACTTTCACAAAGGACTGGCTGGGTGAATCTTCAAGAGTGAAACTGGGGAATGTGGAGTGGCCAGGAGGGGAAGGGGGGGAGATGGACTTCAAAAGAGACTATGGGATCACTTTCCAGGATTGGTTTAATGTACAACCAGGAGCTGTTTTGATATCGCCAGATGCATTTCCAGATCCCTTTCCTCCTTCAGAGCTTGCTCTGGTGGATCTTCATTGGTTTGAAGGGGGGGAGGGCTAAGGGGGAGGGTTGGCGAGTGTTTTTTTTTTTTCAGCATTGACAAGCGTTTTGTCTTTTTAGATTTTCAGTTTGATCAGGAAATATCTGGGTGTGTTTTTTTAGTATGGGCAGCTGCTAGTTTTTTCACAGTTATCTGGCGGCCAGATTCTAGCTGAAGAGGCAGCTCTCTGACGGACACATTTTTCCTTGACTTGTATCTCAGTATATTGTAAATGAGGGACGCTGGACCCGGTTTCCAGCAGGTGCAGCTCCCCACCAATAGAATGGAGCCAATGGCTGGGTTGCTAGTGATTGATGCTCTTATCATCATCACTGGCAGCTAGAGCTGGTTAAAAATAATAATAATAATAATAATAAACAAATAAATAAATAAAATCCTGCCCCTCCCCTCCATCCCCCCCCACACCCCCAAGCACCAGTCACCATACCACCACAGTCACCTACCACCCCTCCTCTCACACATCCCCCCTACATGACCCAGCGAGCCATAGCCAGCTAAAAAAAAACCATCTCAGCTACCCCCCAGATCTCAACTCCTTCCCTACCAAGAACACCCTCACCGAAATCCAAACAGACCCCTTTCAAGCGATACCTACATTTCAGACTAACCCCAGCAACCAAACCAAGATATGACATAGATACGACCACCAGAATCAGACCAAAGACAAAGAAATATTAAACCACCAGTACTTCCTAGAGTCGTGCCCGTTAACGCGCCACGATTTTAGGAAACGTACGGGCTACTACAGGAGTGCCCAAATTCATCCGACTAGAAACATTTCTACTTTTTTTTTTCCCGCGGCCAATGGCTGGGCCAAGTACTGGTGGTTTAAGCTAGGGTATAGGGGTCTAGCACCAAATACAAGATAAGATTAGACTCCCGGTAGAACAGACTATAAAAAAAGGGGGTAGTTCAGAGGAAAGTAACAGTACAAAGTTACTACAAGCAGTCTTCTGGGAGAAAGAAATGATACACAACCCAAGTAGAGAAAGGAAGAGGGTTCAGGGGATAAGGCTTAAAATCAGCACAAGTTTTACTTTTTAGGGACCAGGTACTGGTAAATCATAACAGCATCACAGCTGAGGGTTTAGGGATTAGGGTCTAGACATAATCAAGACAAGTAGGTTTCAGAGTGGTGGCGATCACAAGAAGCTCACATGTGTTCCAGACCGCTCCAACATAACACACCAACTCGACAGCATCACAGCTGAGAAGAGCAGGACTTGGGCCAGACAGTTTGGCAACAACCAGGCAGACTAAGTAGCACAGGCTAACTTAGGCAGTTGTGAGCGGTGGTACATCCTTCCTCAGGGCAGAAATCAATGTTGTCCACTCCGTTCCATCCATGATGAGGAGGAGTGTGCGTGAGTCGCTCGTGTACTCCAAATTGACTTGCCGGGGGAATAGGAACCGAACTGTTGCTCACCAGAATGATAGGAGCCAAAACCAAGAGGTTCTGTTTTTTCAACCAAAAAAAAAATAAAATATATATATATATATATATACATATATATATATATACCGGGCAGTTCTATTTGACGATATATATATATATATATATATATCGTCACAAACAGAACTGCCCGGTAAACCATAGGCAGAGAGAGAGAAGAGGACAACAAACGAGGGGTTGTGACAAACTGTTTCGCCGGAGTTTCACCGACTCATCAGGAGGCTGAACCCTCAACAGTCTGCAGAATCCCCTCGCTGATTACACTGTAAATGATAATCTACCTTAACCAAAATCAAAGTAGACTATCACTCACCCACACCAGATGGAACACTCTACAGACTGTCGGTTCACACCCCATCACAAGCCAGCAAATCCACGAAACAAAGAAAGGTCTGTCACAGCCAAAAAATACACTCCAGACACGCCGCTGGCACTAGAGGCACAGCATGGCCGCCTAGTAACGCCCCCGACCACTGCCGCTCGACCTGACCGGAAAAAACCGTAGCAGGAAGCTAGCGAAGTCGTAGCATATATCGTCACAAACAGAACTGCCCGGTAAACCGTAGGCAGAGAGAGAGAAGAGGACAACAAACGAGGGGCT